TAGTTGTGGTAGTTGTGGTAGTTGGTAGTAGTAGTAGTAGTAGTAGTAGTACTAGTACTAGTACTAGTAGTAGTAGTAGTAGTAGTGGTGGCAGTGGTGGTAGTGACCTGGTAGTGGTAGTAGCAGCAGCAGCAGGCACCATAATGACAACAAATCAAAGAGACTGTTGATGATAGATCGGCAAGGACAGATTTGAAACTGGTTCGACCGGACCCAAAGCTTGTGTTCTGGGTTCGGCGTCGCGCGGTGGAGCTCAGGCTCTGTTCCAACAACCCGGACTGTAGTGCGCATGGTGTCTGCATATCCAACTGATTGTAAGACTCATTTCTCTTCGCATGCCATCCTGGCATCATTGTTCCGAGCCCTACGAGCAAGTCCGTCATATTCCTCATTACATTTAGATGTCCCCACGATCCGTAAGATTGCCCGCAGTTTTCAGGCATCCTGAGAAGTTGTGTGAACTTTGTTTCAAACCGGCTTAGAAACTTACGACTTACATGTCTCTTGTAGAACTCAAGCATGGTGCCGCTGAGGAATGACTTCACAGACTGCGGCCACCCTTGCGAGCGATCCTCGCTGCATCTCCGGGACTCCAATGGCAAGGACCACAAGGCCCTGGATCGCAATCACACATATCTATTGGGTCAGGAGAATATGGGGGTTGTACAGGTAAGTGCTTGGGCCTAAAGGGATGTATGGCTGCATGTTGTGCCTTCTACGACCCCCCCGCCCGCCCCAGGCACAGGAGGGGGTGAGGGGGGTTGTTTCTCTTTCGCTCCTTATATAACCCAACAGAATCCGATCCTAGGGGGATTCTTTACCTCAGTCCGCATACATTCTTTCATTGATTAACCCCAGGACCCAAGCCCAACCACACCACACCACACCACACCACGCAGGGGGGGGAGGATGGAGGGCCCCCCAGCGCGCAACCGAGTTATCCCAGTATTCGAGAATCCAACGGAGAATAGAAGGGAAATTTGAACTAGGGTTTCAGAAAATCAGGGATCTGTGATCCCATGTTTGAGATCCCTGTAGTAAGGACCGTATTAGGTTGGGGGAAACAAGATGCCCCCCCCCATCTCTGAAAACGCACACATAGGAATCTGAGGACCTACTAACAGTATTCCCTTAGAGTTCTTGTAGCCGCTTCTCTGCAATAATGACTTGATGCACGTGTTGTATAACTAGCCTCGTCCCCGCCCCGATGATGGAACCCACTGGAGGGGTTCATTGTTTCCGCCCACAGTAGCCTCTGAAACCGATTGAACCCATTAACTTCAGTGGACACCTCTACCTCATTATCGATAACCCCCCACTTGCCCCTTTCAACAGAAATTAGTCTTGCCCCGTTCAGCATTTTGGGTTCTCGGGGCAGGGATTTTATTGAGAGCGGGCTTCTTCACAGGGACATGTGAGTATAGCTATTGTTTACTGAATTTCAGACATGCATCAAACCCAACTGGATTCTCATCGGCCATTCATCGGCCCATGCAGTTACCGTGAGCTTCTGCCATGCCAATTAGGGGGCTACCTGATCTCGCGGGTGCTTTCTTCGAGGTGATCTAGGATCATAATTGAGATTCCAAGTTGCTAAACTCTTGTGCACGTCGAGGGGCGCCTTCCCTCGTCCTGATTTGAATCGATGCCAAACTGATGAGGTTCTTGCAGACATGGGCTGCCGGAATACAGTCTTCAACGCCAAGGACAGACCGCAGATGATTTGCAATTTGACAAAGGTTCAGGGTCCTTACAGTAGGTTTTATAGCCCATTGTAGTACTTTCCATTTTCTTTTCCATTCCCCTATGTACCCCTATGTAACTAGAACAGTCGCCTACAGCAGTCCTTGGGAACTTCGCAGTGCAGCAAGTGGAGGCACAATCCGCTGCCATGGACATTGCAGCCTTCGCGGCCGCGGGGGTAGGTGTCTAGGTCCAGTTCATCGGGATGTGGGGCTAAGCAGCTAGCACTTGTTGGGCTAAGGCTTCACTCACCCAATTTGTAATTTGACGTCCAGGGACTGGAATAGGATTTGCCCAGGTCTTGCGACTATGAGGCCCTCGCAGAGGGATATGTAGTTCCGAGGGCCCTTTGCAAAAATTTTGCAGCATCCTTGCATGACCCTTATGCAGCCCCACACAATCCTATGAACGACACGCTTGATTCCCAACTGAGATGTTGAAAAATTCGTATCGCTGGTCTGCTGGTCCGCGGGAAAGAGAAAGGAAGAAAGTACTGAATTCCAGTAGCTGACGGTTTTAAACACCCACACAAACAATTTCCCCTCGTAATTTCATCTGTTTACTGTCTTTGGGCCAGTACTCATTTATATGAATAATCATTTTCTCAAGAATAATGAACAATCAAAATATCAAGGATAATGGAAAATCAAATACTGATAGTAATAAAACATAGCAATTCTACTATCAGTGAGAGTAGTACTTATACGAATAATAGTATTAATGTGTGTTTTGGTCAGTTCGCGCCCCAGGTTTTCTTCGATTGGAGCTGGTGGATGAGCCGGCCGAGTCAGTCGCCACACTTGTGCCTTCTTGTGCAAAAGCACTGTGCATACACAGTTGCTGCACTTGTGATGGCAGCGCATATTTAGCACACCTGCACCCAACATAGACCCTAAACCCTACATAGTCGTTTCCATTTGACTTTCCATAATCCCAATATAACCCTAATATACTCGTAAATGTAGTCTTCCCATTGTCATACGTTGAAGTACGTGCGGGCTTTCAGCCCATATGCATCCTGCCAGCAAGCGCAGGATTTTTACATGGGGATAATGGAAAAGAAAATGAAAACTACTATTTGGGGTTATACAGAATGTACAGTAAGGGTAAACCTTGTAGGGTAACTGGTTCGTATGTGACGGAGCTGTGCATGCCACATAGCCTTGTGGCATAGAGATGGCGCATGGAAGGTGCCTTTTGAAGGAGCACCAGCACCCAACAGCACTGTCCCTCCCGCCTTACCACAGACTTGGAGCTTTTCACGTAGGAAGACTCATGCTGATGACTGCTGGTATCATAATCAGGGAGCCACAAAACAAAGGTGAAGCGATACCATGCGGCAGCGCGGGGCCGACTTCCCGCGGACAAGCTTTGGGGCTTCGTGGCCCAGCTCACGGACAGCCTCAGATAGTTGCGGGAGGTTTGATTCTAAAGCTTTGCAAGGTGAGAGGAGCTTGCGGCTGTTTCGGACTTTTGGAACAATCCTGTCATGTTTTTAAACGTCCCTCAGGTTGTCTCATAGCTCCTAATACATCCAGGCCTACTTCACGAACCAATACAGAACTGCTAGCAAAAGATGCATTGGGTCTGGGTTTGGGATACCACACAATGCAAGTCAGTGTGTGGAGGCTGAGGGTAAACATGAGGGCGTGCCTCGTATTTGAAAAAAAGCAAGCACAGGCCATGGCCATCACTGCCAAGCCTACCGCACTCCGCTACGGCTAACAGTGGCTAATAGCATCAGCAGCATGAAAACAGTACCATCCCTGGCCTTAAACAATCAGTTCAGTGGGGGGCCCATTTGTGTTCCAGGACTCCAACGGACGATGTCAAGGAGTCGATCGGGGCAGCTTGGACGATGCCAGCACCATGGCTGCTAGTTGAGACGCGATCATCGCATCTTAGCAAGACCCCGAACAGTCCGTAAATGGTGGCATCCTGACCCAATTCCTCAGCCATTTCCCGTAACTCGCGCGACCACTGCCAAGGTTGGCGTGAACGAGATAAATCAGAGATGAAAGTGACAGCAGCCGCTCAACGAGCTCGCTGACAAAGCGTAGGCGTAGGAGTTAGGACTGTAGGACTGGGGGACAGTGTTCTTATACACAATTGGCACTGAATTCTTGCTCCATGCAAGGTCAGGCCACTGGTAAAACCAGGCTTCTTTCATCGTAATGTTTAACCTCAAGGAGATAGCCTGCAAAACCCGTTGTGCATCGCCGGCCAGCAGCTGGAAAAAGACGATCTTGCAAAGCGTAGCTGATGCATGTGGCATGGCTGCCCACCAGCAGGGGCTTGTGTGGGGTGATGAGAACTTATCTTGAACTGAGAGAAGCTGCCGGAACAGGAGCGCTCGCAAGGTCACGCAGTGCAGTGCAAGCGAGCTCTGGTCAGGGCCTAAGGTTTGGCTTCTAGTTGGCCATCTGCACACCTTTGCAGAACAGCTCCTTAACCAGCATATAAAGGTTTGAGCTCCAACCCCTGCTCTCTGTTGAACTTCACGCAACCTGTTCTGCGCACAAAGTGTAGGCAACCATGCTCTGAGGACAAATTGGGCATCCTGGGAGCGCTAAAGATTCTCAACTGCACATCTTCCCTGCCAGAACCATGAGATGTAAATTGTGCAGGGTTCGACAGGCCGTCCTGCACTGCCCACCCGCTTGAACGCAAGATCCTTCAAACCAAGGATGTCTCCAGGGACGGCGACCGGGCGGCCCAGGGACGCTTGCAACGATGCACTGAGCAGAGCGGTCGGTAATGCTGTGGGTGGCTCCGCTGGGGTTTCCTCGAATGAGGAACAAGGCCGGTCCAATGATGTGCTGGCCGTTCTGGGTGCCGGTCCGAGCTCCCCTAAGGGGACGGGAATGGGAACCGCCTTGAACACGGCCGCGGTCTCCGTGTCGCAGGATGGAACGGCTGGAGGCAGCCCGCGCGCGCAAGTCTCCGGGAAGGGTCGAGAGACCGACGCCACAGAGGAAAACCTGGCAGCCATCGGACTGACTGTTCAGCGGATGGAGACTGTCCAAACTTCGGAGGACGCAAGTCCTAAAGCAGACGAAGTTGAGCCAGCAGCTGTGGAGCCTGCAGAACCGTCGGACTGGCAAGGCGAAGGTGGGGCGGACACAAAGCAATTTCATGGTTTGCATATTGTCTTCTCAAAAGCCAGATTACCCTGCAAGGGGAAGAGGAGATGCCAGCTGTCGAAGGTGAGTGCGATGTCGAGGAGGCATGACTAGTATCATTGCTTGCCTCAGGTATGCATGGATCAGAGAAGCAAACTTGAGACACATCATCATCACCACCATTATCATTAAAGGAGCACAGCTAGAATATTATTGCAGTAAAAAAGCCCCAAATCTTCCCATGAGCAAACTGCCAAACGCAGCACACGCAAGCAAACGCTCCAAAATAATCTGCAGAAGCTTTTCGTGCCGGTTGGCAAATCCCCAGCAATCCGCCTTGAGTATGGTTGCTATGGCAGGAAGAGCTCCTTTCCGAGGATCACCTCCGGAGTTCTTAGCTAAGTACAGCAAGATGGCATGGCTGGCAGCCTTCGAGCTTCCAACATGGGTGATGTCCAGTGTATGTATGGTCTTAAGAAATATGATAGTTTCCCAGACTAAGAGAACCCTATAGAACCCAAAATACTGTAGTCCTTATTATGGGGACCCCCCCCTAGTTTTGGGAAGCCCCATATAGTTTCCTTATCTTGCATTATTCTAATGCTCAATGCCGCTCTTGGGCAAAGGAGCCCTTTTTCTCCCTTCTGTGACACCTGTCCAAGGCATCCGCCGCCTCATGTTTGTCCTGCGGCTGTGGAGCGGACACAAGGCCAAATCATCTCTGTGAAGACAATCCAAACAGAAGGTTCGTTCAAGTTGGATCATTCTGTACCCTTCCGGCACCTTTTACATGGCCCTTGCAATGGAGGCACCAACAGTGCTTATGCCATGGCAGCCTGTCAGAATTGGTCTCAAGCTGCTAAAGGCTTGCAACGGTGTACCCCCGTGGATGTCTTACAATGGGTTTTAAAGAAACCGTTAGTGTGGCTTCAGACAAAGGGAATGCTTGCAAAAAGCCGGCGGTGGTAAAACAGGATTTTAGACAGATATGAAAAGAGATTGTTGACCCAGAGATCACCAGCATTTGTGGAAACTTATGTCCTCAAAAGGCATTGTAACGGACCGAAAGCTCTGTGCAGCTGCCTTTCTCTTCTGTGTTGTTGCCTCAGTCGTAGCAGAGATCAAGCCACGAACCTTGAGCACACTTGTGCGGGCAGGCTGCAAAGAGCGGGTCGGGCGAGCAGCTGGAGGTTCCTTCCGTGCGCTTTCGACAGCACAATCATATTGGATATTGCTGCAGTTTAGAAGCGGTATCCCATATGGCTGCATCGAACATGCTATCATATCGTCTGCTCCAGGCTTTGTTTGAGCATGATGGAGCTCCATGGTGCAACTGCCTGGATCAAGCTGTTGCGCCTCGAAGGCTTCAGAGCCATCGTCCGATGCTGGAGCCAAAGAGCAGGACAGCACATGAAGCTTGCGCAAGTAGTTTCCATGCTCTGAGCGTCAAAGTTCAACTCGGCTAGTTCAGGCTGCAGAGGCCGGGGTGAAGCATGGACCACAGCTCCCTGGTTAGGACGGCGAGATGCCTGTGCAACAGGCCCAATGCCGGCAGGAGATTTGGATGGGGATTCCATTACGGATTGGGGTCACTCGAATGTTGGTGCATTACAGAAGGGTCCCTACATTAATGTCCCAATCTGCACGCACCTTAATTCAGGCAAATTGCCCAAGACAGGGCAGCGCAGGAAAGGCATCTTGAGCAGCTCATGCAACTCCACGCTTAGGCTTAGGCGGATCCAACTGCAGGCGTACCCAGAAGCTACATACGATGAAGCCGATGCTGCTGCCAGACTTTGGCTAGCGGAGACGTCTAACCTCAACACCCAACTCTTACATCAGGTGTTCGATGTTGTGGCCAGGGTGAAGGCGGGACATCCATGCCATGTTGACGTATGTTCAGGGCCCTTGCTTCGTTACAAGGGTGTTGGCGAGCTTTGAACGTACCATTTGCTTACACGGTCACGTGTCCTGTAAAGCTCCGGTGGGACCGGGTCTCCTTTCCTTGCTATCCGCACTTATCTACTGAGCTAGGCGTTTGCAGGTCAGATGTGAATTTAGCCGATGCTGACACTACCATTTGCACCAGAACCTATATTTCTTCTGTCAAGCACGGACCGCTCCTGTGAAGGGCTTGGAAACATGCAGCGGCGAACTTCTGCGCAGCTTTACAGTTTGAAATGTTCTCGGGAGTAAGCAGACAATGCCTCCCATAGGTCAGCAAGTCAAGACATTACGAAGGCCAGTCTTTCCAGCCCTGCTTGCATACCGCACCCCAAGCACCTAAGACTTGCCTCAGCATACTGAGACCAACTCTGGTCATCATGCAAACTCAACATGATGAATTACGACAATGGCTACGGCACTTATATATTTATGCAGACTTGTCTCCCCATCCCATAGCCTTTCTCAGGCCAGATCAGGCGCTATGCTGTGCAGCCAGCGGAGCTTCGAAAGCCTTCTGGAGATTCTACAGAAGGTTGACAAGGCAAGTATCTTCAACAGTTGCTGCAGCGGCTTTGGTTTTGCTGACCTCGCAGGCCGGCGGCTCCAAAGCATACCAAAAGATCCCTCTCAGCCACTCGGCAAGCCACTTCAGCACCAGCCAAAGTGGAACCACCGGGGAGGGACAGCGCGTAAGCCACTCGCGGGTTCATTCACTTTGGACCTCCACACTACACAGTCAATGCATATCAATGCTATTGGATGATAGGGAGCGGAGTTTGCAGCAGTCAGGCTGTTGCACAAACCTCGACACAGCAGCATCAGCCACAATAGGTATTCAGCATCTCAATCTCCACCTGCGCATCCAGCTTCTGATCAGCTCTTGGGTTGAACACTACTCTACACAGGCAAAGTGCGGGAGGCCTTCAACGAGCAAATCGCCCTGCAGATCAGCCTATCTAGCTGCTCGGCAGAACATCGAGCAGCTAGTCCAGCATGCCTCCTCGGATGCGTACTTGCCATCTGTGCTTGCATGGCTGCACAGACAAAGACGTGCTATCACTGTAAAGTCAGCAGCCATCGGCACTGTGCGGACTGTGCTGCAGTAGGCATGTTAGGTCGAAATTAGGGAGAGTTCAGGGCTGCCATGAAGTCTGCAGGCCGATATGGCCTTTCCGCCGCAGAAGCTTCGAAGGGGATGGTCTATGAGACATTTCGGACCTGCATGCTCCATGGCTGCAAAGTGCGATAGCCTTGTGAGCATGGTTAGGCCTTCATTGATAGGTTGATGTGCACGTTAGTATGAATCTCACCCGGTACGTGTGCCTGTACGTGCTGAAAACCACGACCTGCATTCTAATCTCCTTGCCTAATACTACAACACCCCAACCCCCCTAATGTCAAACATTCCCTGTGCGGTGTATTGTATTATGAGGGGGTGGGTGTTTTAACATCGCGGGAGGGATAACTTTCATCATGGAAGTGTTGAAAGGCATCGCCTGTTTTACCGGGCGCTGGAGTCAGAGGATCAGGCTGGCAATTTGTACAATCTTTTTAAGAGCTTCCGCAGGTTAGGGGTAGCCCTCATGAGGATGACAGTATTTTGGGGTTTGCATTGGGGTCCCACCAGTTAAGGAAACTACCTTGTGCGACCCGGTGCGACATTAGGAAATCACAGTGGCTGAGGATTGCCATTGGCAGGCCTAGGCTCAAAGTCAGTCTGCACGTACACCCAGGGTTTAGTGCATTAGCTTTTAGAGTTTAGTGCAGTTAAGGGTTTAGGGCATAGTTTGTTGGTATGTAAGGTAAGCTTTTTGCGGTAGCTTTGTCATGAGAGTATAATGGGCTCCTGACTAGTAATATTGGTCAGCGTGTTCTTGGGGAGTCATGTTGGGTTGTCAGAAATGAGAATTCCTCTTGGCATAGTCTCAAGCATAGAGCCACTGATGCTTATGTGGCTATGAGCTGCAGAATTCCTTTTGCACTGCACTTATATTTACATGTGGATATGAGTAAGGTGTGTAGATATAAAGAGATGGAGAGCCATAAGCTTTACAGCATCATGCGCGCGTTTCCCAAGGTAGGAGCCCAGTTACATACTCCTAAAACAAGGGACCCGCGATTTTGAGAAGTCCCTATCCGCAAGGTCAAGCATCTCCTCCTGCAAGCAAAGCACTTCTGAGAGGGGAGGTTGATCAAGTCAGAGAGCAGCGTGATGGGATTATGTGGGGTTCATAGGTACAAAGAAAAACCGTTCTCTTCTGGGGGGGGCAGGTAGGGGTCATCACTTGAGTAACATGCGGAAATCTCTAGATGTATTGGTCTCAAAACGGCATACCTTCAAGCTGCAGTCGGAGACCCCAAGGTTGGGTTCTTGGTTTGGAGACTGTGCCTTGCAGGGAGGACAGAGAACGTCACTTTTTCAGTGCTCGAAAGAGGTGCTGACAGCAGGGAAAATCAGTCTCAACATGGCTCACAGCTTGGGTCATCCATTGCATTTAAGACATGCACGCCTGTCCCAGCCCGCCCTCACATGGAAGGAAAGCTTAGCAATGATTCTTGTTCGTCCCTCGCTTCCAGATACTTGTTGGGCAGCTTACAAGTGTGATGAACGTGTTTAAGCTTGAGCTGGGTCTTTCTTAGCTTGTAGAAAGCACACCTGTCCATTCACCAAAATGTGAGGCATGCGATTTGCAAATACGAGGCTTGATGTTTGCCATCAAAACTTTGTGTGCTGTGATGACAGCTTTGTTGGAGGTGTCCTCAGGTTGCCGCAAAATTTCCAGACGTTGAAGGGCAGCCCCTTCTAGCTCCACTACCAAACTCAGGCCAGCTTCCCAAACACCAACGGGGTTTCTGAGTTGCCTGAAGCGAATCACACATGCATCCTAGAACTAGCCTGGAAGCGGCAACGTTGGCCAACATAAGGCTTCCAATTCGAAATCCCAAGTTTCAACCGTCAACATCAAATAAGATTCACAATGCCGTGCATGAGCTTTGGAATATCTCTTGCAACGGCGGCTTTTTCATCCAGCCCGCAGTGCATGCTCTTCGCACCATGACTTCACATGGGCACAAAATCTGCGCGCGGTAGCGCCATGTCTCCCTAATAGTATTAATAATGGTGAATATAGTAATTAATTATATGAATGCTAGATTTGAAAAGTACTAATATCAACAGTACTAATACTAATTATTTCGGGATAGCCGCACACCTCGGTCCTTATGCGCGTGCGAATTTTTAGGCCAAACAGGACTCTTCTTCGCAATTTGCAAACAAGAACATTTGATGTGCGGTAGTTCTTGGATGTCTGATACTGTCGATCCTGACATTCATCAGGGTTCTGCTCTGCACATCCTGAAAAGGGCGACATTCAGCATCCTTACTTGAGACATGCCACTAATCTGGTGGGCCCGAACTGAAGAGTGCCAAGGCAAAGCTGATAGTTAGAGGTTTCATCCAGGCTTGGTGTGTTTGGTCGGAAGATCTCGGAAGTTACATGCATTGGCCATGATGTTATCTTGTAGCCCGAGACGAGCGTTGTGAAGTGAACTGCTCCAGATCATTCGGGGAGCTCACGACAAACTGGTTTGGTGCAGGCAGGAGTGTCCCGGAAGCCGTTTCCACCAAGCTAAGTTGCATCCCAACCTGGCACTCCATTCGCTGCTTGCTATGGCGTCCATCGAAACCGTGATGGAAGAGCTTGAGCAACTTGTGCAGACCCGCAGCTGCACGAAGGCATATTATGTGTTCCAGGTTGGAGCTATAGAGAAAGTGGATGCAATGAAAGTTCTTCGAAAGTGCTCCCCTGGCCACATGCATCCCCCTGCTCAGGTCGCTAGTAGAGCCGTTTGCTCTGGTCGGAGAAGATATGCATGACGAGGACAGGGCACGCATTCTTCACGGAGGGCGGAGGAAGTTTCACTGACGGAGGGCCGGTTAAAATGTTAGGCATCACTACGTCTGGTGAGGAGCCAAGCACGCCGCACCAAATTGTGGAGCACGCGGATCGCTCAGCGGATTCCAAGAAATTTCGGCAAACATACTTGTCCGAATACTGACATGACTTTGCCAAGGAAATGCACGCGTGGGATCCGTGGAGTTCGAGGCGAGATTCGCGGGTCGCAAGAGTTTGGATGCAAAGTATACGCATGAACTGCAAGCGCCTGTGTAAATTCAATGCCTTAATTGGATTGGAAGGCTGCGAGGAATCGGAGAAGAAGGCTGGCACGATGCCATATTAAAGTAATTGCAACCCGCATTTCGCCATCGCAAGGTTGGCATCCATTCTGGAGCTGACAAAGGCCACGCGTGCTTGAGTTACAAGGTCGAATCTGTTCAACAGGGTGGACTACTGTAGCATTGCAATGGTGCAGACGCAAAGTAGCACGCAGTGGAGTCCTACCCCGGGAATTTCATCTTGGCACCTTTCGACTGAGCTGACCCTTCGAATAGCAAAAGCATGGATAGACCAATATTATTCTGGAATTTGTTATTGATTAAGCGTATTGCACGTTTGATTTTGAATCGAACCCATTCTTCCTTGGAAAGTTTATGATAGGACAAGTGAAATAAGATTCTTTAAAAAAAACTCAATATTACGGCGCGGCCACTTGCGACCATTTCGACCGAGCGCGGCCTAGCCTTTCCGGCTCACCTCTAAAATGCTTCCTGCGGGCTCCCTAGGGGCTCTAAAATCTCGGACAATTTTAGAGCCCTTCAGAAAAGCTAGAGGCTCTAAAATCTCCGAGATTTTTGGCGCGGGCAGCACGACCAAAAATCTCGGAGATTTTTCGTCGCGCGGCCCTCCGCCCCGGAGCGGTTTTCCGCGTGATTTATCTGTCCCTTTGGCTGCTTGCGTGGCTGCTCGGCGGAACGTGCAGACCCGGAATAGCCGTGTTTGTCATGCGCTCCCCCGATCCGCCGCGCAACAGTTAGCCCAAGACGGAAATTCCGGGCCGGAGAGCCTGGGCCACAGGAATAAAAATCTCTCGCGGGGCCACTTGCGGCCATTTCGACCACGCGCGGCCTAGCCTTTCTGACTCACCGCTAAAATGCCTTCTGCGGGCTCCCTGGAAGCTTTGAAATCTCGGAGATTTTAGAGCCCTTCGGAAAAGCTAGAGGCTCCAAAATCTCGAGATTTTTGGCGCGGGCAGCACGACCAAAAATCTCGGAGATTTTTGTCGCGCGGCCCTTCCGCTCCTCCGCGTGATTTATCTCTCTCTTTGGCTGGCTGCGTGGCTGCTCGGCGGAATGTGCATACCCAGCACAGCCGCGTTTGTCATGCGCTCTATCCGCCGTGCAAAAGTTAGCCCAAGAGAGATAAATGAAGCGGAAATTCCGGGCCGGAGACCCTGGGCCGCAGGAATAAAAACCTCTCGAGATTTCGAATGATTTCTTTCTCTTTGGCTGTCTGCGGCGCTTGCCCCCCGGAGCGAGCTTCTGCGTGATTCATTTCTCTTTGGCTGCATGCGCGGCTGGTCGGCGGAACGTGTAGACCTAGGACGGAGAACCCAAATCTTTCAGAATTCATAGATTAGCGGCGTCTGTCTACGGGCATTTCTGCGCTCCTCCGATGTGCCGCGCAACAGCTAGCCCAAGAGAGATAAATGAAGCGGAAAGATCGGGCCGGAGACCTTAGACCGCACGACCAAAAATCTTCCGAGATTTCGAATTATTTCTTTCTCTTTGGCTGTCTGCGCAGCGGTTCGGCGGAATGTATAGACCCGAGATGGAGAGCTAAAATCTTTCAGAATCTATAGATTGACCGCTTTCTTGAAATCTTCAATCTAAGTCTCAGACCGTTAAGCTTCAGAATAAAAGTCAAAACATGCGGCAACCTGCAAGGTTTCGACGAGGTTGATGCCGCAGAAGGCACCGTACCGCTGTTTGCACAATTTGCAGCAGCAAAGCCTCTGGTGGACGCTTGCCAAGAGGGCGTTGGGGGGAAAGCCATACGCAGACGTGTTGAAGGGTATGCGGGGGAACCCGGCTTGGGTCAGAGGAATTTATATAAATCATTGGGATTAGTGACGATCTGACACCTCCTGGGCAAGTCCTGTCAGGTTTGCGAGAATTTGACGAGCGCTTCAGAAGAATGATCAGCGAAAAAACACCCGCGGCTAGCA